GTCTGAATTTTTGTTTATTCCCCATGACCTGCTCCTGACTTTTACTAAAAATAACCATGAAAAAATCTTAGCCTTAGCTATAAGGTGCTTACAGATGGATTGTTTGCGTTCCAGTATCTTCCGAGGTATCTGAAGTTGGGCTGATTGGTCTAGAATTTGCCACGTCCTCTTTGTTCCCCTTTTTAAAGATATGTACTATATTTGCCCTTCCCCAGTCCTCTGGGACCTCACCTGTCCTCCATGAGTTCTCAAACAAACCGTTAATGGTTCTGAGATTGCTTCAGCTAGATCCTTAGGTACTCTACAGTGAATTTCATCAGGCCGTCTTGACTTGAATACATCTATCTTAGTTGGTCTTCTTGGTTTCTGCTCTGATTTTAGCTGCGGGACCATCACCGACACCAGACCGGGATCCGTCAGCACCATCTGCTGCTATGGGCTGGAGGGCCGCTATGTCACCATCGTCATCCCGGGCAGGGCGGAGTATCTCACCCTGTGTGAGGTTGAGGTCATAGCTCACGGCTGTGCCCCACCGCCAGGGGGTAAGGAGCTGGCACAACGTGAATGGAAACTTGTTCTTTTATGTTCTACCCCATTCCCTTCTGCCTCAGGTTCTGTCTAGTGAAACAGCAGAAACCCTGGGAGACTCTTCCCTTCCCTTCCCACCACTCACCTGGGCAGGGGCTCCAGCGGGCAGTGGCACGATGGGGGAGGCTCCATCTGAACATCTTGCCCCATCCCTGCTTTGGGGAGCAGCTCCAGCTGGGTATGGGACATGGGGGGGGCTATGAGAGAATATGACCAGACTGAGACCCCATCACTGACCTGCTGTCACTCCCATCCCCGGGGGCCATGGCTCCCACTATGACCCTGGCTCTCATGCAGTGGCTGGTTTGTGTGTCACTGCCGGGAAGCAGCTCTGACTCCACGTGGGATTCTTCTTCAAGTGCTTGTACATGTCCATTCCAACTTAGGGTGCGAGTGCCCTGAGCACAGTTCTCGGAGATTTTTCCCCTAGTGGTATCTGTCAGCTTGGCTCTGGTGCCCCCTGGTGCCGCGTGCACATAGCACCGGTATAAGGGGCCCCGCTGAGCCCCCGCTCGCCTGTGGCGGCTGTTGGAGCTCCCCACCTTTGCCTTTGCAAAGTATTTTAGTGGTTTTCCTAGTTAAACATTCGGTAAATAGTTTTTATTAGTTAGTGTAGTTGTACTAGTTGTAAATAGGATAGAATAGTAGTTAGGACTGCTCTCCGTGTCTGCAGAGGGAGTCCGTGTCACCCCAGTACTGGGGCATGCCTCGGTCGCCGGGGTTTAAGCAGTGCTCTTCCTTGTGACTCGGCACCGAGTACATCTGCATTGGTGCAGAGCACACCGCCGGCCCCTAAGAGCTCGTGGCACCGCTCTGCCTCGCCAGGGCCCAGGAAGATACACAGAGGACATCAGGAGAAGACCAGTTCCCTGGCGCCGAAGACAGGCAAATGGCCAGATAGGGACAGAGCAAGTACTGTGCCTGGCTGCTCTCCCTCGCCAGCGCCATGGCAGCCTCTGGCGCTGCAAATGCCCAGGGGTGAGGTGCTACACCCCGCTCGGCAACAGGGGATGACTTTGCGGTACCATTGACCCCGGAGGCTTATGCTGCCGCTAAAGACTTGTTGATTCTGCCGGTACCGAGCTCCCCTAAGGCATCTGAAGTGGCACCGAACCTACCACTTTCAGGCCAATCTCAAGAATGGCCTCTAAGGGAAAGCCTCCATTTTTTACCTCACCAGAGATGCCCCATGGCACTAGTCCCCGGCACAACGAGGATTGGCACTGCCGTGGTCGCCTTGGTCATCCAGCTCTTCCTCATCTTCAGGGTCTGATTTGGGGTCTGACACTTTGAGGCACCGTCGCCAATCCCCCCACCCATCTCTGACTTTGGTAGCCCGGACAGCCACGATACCTCAAAGCGCCTGGCCCGCGGGGCCCAGAACTGATCCAATGGCCTTTTTTGAACACACGGGGGTTTCCCCTGGGCCAAGGGACCAGCTCGAGGCACTCCTATTCGGTGCCGTCGGAGACTTGGGAAGCACCAAGAGACTCCTGAGCCGAACTCCGGGGTCGACACCAGAGTCGGCCCCAGTACAGGACCTGGTATTGAATCCGTCACACTCCAGGTACCAAGGCGGGCACCGGTACCAGTAGTGGCCAGCAGGTGCAAGCTGGCCAGGAGGAGATTCCCCTGGAGGCTGGGACAGCACATGCCTCCTTCTCCTCATCACCAGAAGACGAGTTAATGCTTAAGGGGTCTTCTCCTCCCCAGGATGACCTGAGAGCCCACCGGGTCGCCTCTCATTTGGGCCTTCAGGCGGAGGTGGTCAGGGAGATGTCTGTGGTTTCCTGGACATTTTGACGGATGCAGACCCTGCCAGGGTCGCTCTCCCCTTGCACAGCTTCATTACAGGGCCAATAAAGACCCTTTGGCAAACCACCCAGCATCCATCCAAACTTAAACCCCTCTGCCTGTAATCTATTTCTAGTAGATGCTTGGGTTTGTTCAAATTTATCCGCTAGAGTAGCAAGTTCATCAACATCACTTTTTATCCCATAAACACTGTTTTACATCATCACTACCTATACTCAGGAAACGTTCCTGAGCCACCAGATCACACATTTCTTAAAGCTTTTCCCTTTACCCACTTATCCATCAAATCTCTCATCTGGTTTACATGCCACATTACTCATTCCAGCACCCCTCTTAAGGCTTCTATACGTTTCAGGTGTCATCTGAAACTGTTTTAAAACCATTTCCTTGAATTTACCATACTCTGAAACATCTCTAATTGGCATCTTATTGAATATACCCAGAGCTCTCCCAGACAAATTTGCAACCAAAGTGGGCATCTTTTGGTCTTCAGGAATCTCCTGGAGCACACGCCGCCTCTCAAAGGCGATGAAATATTCAGCAATGTCCCCTGTCTCACTGTATGCAGGACACAACCATTCTCATTTGTGGATTTTTGGAGAGGTGGGACTCCCTGGTGTGTGGGGTTCCACCTCTCTGTCAAGTCCAGTTCATGCTTCCCTCTCTTTTTCCCTCTCTTCCATGGCTAGCTTCCAGGCCTCCATTTCTTTGGCTTGCAGTTCCAGGGCAGTTTTTTGCTTGGCCTCTGCTGCTTCAATCTGCAATTGCTGCCATTTCCTATGTCGTTTGTGTTCCTTCTCGTTCTCTTCCACCTGCAGTCTGCACAGCTCCAGCTTCTTCCTGGTTTCACTTTCACTCATTTTCCTGCTTTTCTGTCCCTGCTTCCCTTGCCCAAAATAAGCCAACAGAAAATAACAAACTGGCAACCTCGTTGACTGATCTCGCCCGCCTGATCCACCAGCCTGGGCTCCCTGTACACTGTGACAGGCCCTCAAGCCCCCTCCGGCAAACATACATGTAGGACACACCCAATTGCAGTTACACACCGACGCTGTGATCAGCTCTGCATGGGAAGGCTTCAGCTAAGGAACTTTCCAGCTGCTCAGGCACACACACCCCTTTGGAGTGTAAACACAAAATGATATGTCATGCACTCCACAGGGAACTGTACCGCGTACGCTCATGAAATTCGCCCCCCTCCCTCAATGTGGAGAGGAATCTACAACAGCTTTCTGCCCCCGGTTATGACTCACACACCCACAGGTTTTAGATAAAGCAAAAATAAGTTTATTAACTACAAAAGATAGATTTTAAGTGATGATAAGGGAGAGCAAACAGATCAAAGCAGATTACCTAGCAAATAAGCAAAAACGCAAACTAAACTTAATACACTAAAGCGATTGGATATGAATAGCAAATCCTCACCCTAAATGATACCAGCAGGCTGCACGTTCTTAAGGGGCAAGCTGCGCAGACCTACAGCTTGGAATCCCCAGGTGTTCCATTCACAGGCTAAAAATCACCCTGGCCTGGGTCCAGCACTTCCCCCAGTTCAGTCTTTGTTCCTCAGCTGTTTCCAGGAGTCTCTTTGGGTGGAGAGTCAGTGAAGAACTATGATGATGTCACTCCCCTGCCTTAGGTAGCCTTTGCATATGGCGGGAACCCTTTGTTTCAGAGCTTGGTTCCCATGCCAGCCAGTGGTAAAACATTGATATCCCAAGATGGAGACCAGCACCAGGTGACCTGATCACATGTCCCTGTAGTGTCACAGCAGCCATGAGTCAGAGGCTGTTTGTAGCATCCCCAGGAAGACTTTCTCCCCACCCCCCAATGGCAATAAGCTTCTTCTAAGGCCTATTGTTCTCCCTAATGGTTCATTCACTTGAATGGGCCCTTCCCAGACAGCCATCTAAACTGGGAGCCTTTTGTCTAGTGGGCGTTCCCCATGTGTAAACACCTTTGTAATACAGATACATAGTCAATATTCCTAACTTCTATAACGATACATGCATACAAATAGGATAAGCATATTCAGTAAATCATAACCTTTCCAGTGATATCTCACATGACCCGACTTGCATAAAATGCATTATGATTATGTTATAATCATATCATAATAATATTTCTATGAAGAATATGGGGTGCAGTGTCACACATCCCTCCCATGGCCAAGAGACCTGAGAGAAAGTACTTTGTGCCGGCCAAGGGATGGGAGTTTCTGTTTTCTCACCCTTCGCGCCTGGGGGTCTCATTGTGGTGGCTGCTAAGGAGAAAGACTGTCAAGGCAATAAAGGATCGACTCCAAAGCCAAACGAGTCGAAAAAGATGGACCTTCTGGGAAGGAAGGCCTAGGCTATGGGAGGACTCCAGCTGAGCAGAGCAACTCAGCAAGCATTGCTGACTCTCTATGACTACAACATATGGGAAGGGATGACAAAGTTTAACGACAAACCATCTGGAGTTCTTACGTCTGGTAGATGAGGACAAGACACATGCCAGAGCTTCCTTACAGTCATCCCTTGACGCCGCAGACTCAGTGGCCAGATCTATGGCCACGGCAGTCACTATGCACAGGAGCTCATGGCTGCAAGCGTCACGGTTCCTGCAAGACGTCCAGCAAGCAATGCAAGACCTGCCGTTCGAGGGGCCCTCGCTTTTTTCTGAACAAACTGATGCCAGGCTCCTCGGACACTAAAGCAATTCTGAAGTCCCTGGGTTTGCAGTCCCAGTTTCAGCCCAGTTGACCATATAGGACACAGCAATTTGGTCACTTTTATCCTCACCAGAGATATGACCAGAGCAGATGAAGGAATAGAAGCTCTTGGCGCAGGCCACATCCACCTTCCTCCTTCTCAGCGGGGGGGGGAGGGGGAGGGAGGGGCCTAAAGCACTTGTTTTGATGGGTTTGTTGAGGACAGCCTTCCAATTCTACTTTCCCAGGATTCAGATACCCCTATTTTTTCCAACTGTCTTTCCCATTTCCTCGAGGCCTGGAAATGGGTCACTTCCAACATCTGGATCATAAATACAGTGGAGGTTGGCTGCACCCTCCAATTCACCTCCACCCCACCCTCCCACCCCGCTTCCCCATCCCTTTTCAGGCACCCTTCTCACAAGCTTCTGCTGGAGTAAGAAGTTCAATCCCTCCTCAGGATGGGAGCTGTGGAAGAGGTTCCACCACATCTAGGGAAGAGGATTCTACTCCCGTTATTTTCAGATACCCAAGGCCAAGGGAGGTCGTACGCCTATCCTAGACCTGCGTCGTCTCAACTGGTTTTTCAAGAGGTTGAGGTCTGCATGGTCTCTTTGGGATTGATTATCCTGTCTTTGGATTCAGGGGATTGGTATGCCACCCTTGACTTAAAGGACACATATTTCCATATTCAATTTTTAATGGCCACAGAAAATTTTCGAGATTCGTGGTAAACAAGGGGCACTACCAATTTGCGCCCCTGCCATTCGGCCTTTCAGCGGTACTGAGAGTCTTCACCAAATGTGTGTCAGTGGTAGCGGGCCTTCTAAAGAGAAGAGGAGTCTACGTATTCCCATACCTCGACAACTGGCTAATCAAGGGCAGGTCTCGTGAGCAAATGAAGTCAGACATTGCCCTCATCCAAACAACCTTCCAGTCAGTGGGCCTTCCGATCAACATGCAGAAGTCAACACTAGTCCCTACTCAGAGAATAGAGTTCATTGGGGCAGTCTTCGACTCCCAGCTGGTGAAGGCCCTTCTCCCAGAGGATCACTTCCGGGTTATTTCAGAGGTAGTTCGTTATGTGCAGGCCCATCCTATCATGATGGTCAGAACATGCTTGAACCTTCTCAGCCCCATGGCATTGTGCATGTCTGTGGTTCGTCATGCAAGGCTGAGACTCAGACCTCTCCAGGCCTGGCTGGCCATGACGTACGGTCCCTCTAGACACCCCTTGGACAGAGTGGTTATGGTGCTGAGACACATCCTCAGCTCCCTATCATGGTGGGTAGACGGTTGGGTAGTCTGCGAAGAGATTCCCTTCACAAAACCTCAACTGCCTGCACACTTGGTCTCTGATGCATCAGCGCTGGGTTGGGGAGCCCACCTGGGGGTGCTCAAGACTCAGGGGTGCTGGTCCGTAGAGGAGCTGGCACTCCGCATCAATGTCAGAGAGCTCAGGGCGTCTCTCGCATGCTAAGCATTCTTGCCTCGTATTGCATAGACAACAGCTCAGTCCTCACGGACAATACATCAGCCATGTACTACATCAACGGACAGGGTGACGCTCGTTCTTTCCCTCTGTGTCGGGAAGCAGTTCGCCTATGCGAGTTCTACATCGCATGTTCAGGCACAATCGAAGCTTCATTTCTACCAGGGGTGCAGAATCAGCTTGTGGACCGCCTCAGCAGGTCCTCCTCCGTTCACCGCGGATGGTCCCTGTGTCCGGATGTCGCACTGAGCATCTTCCGCGTGTGGGGCTTTCTCTGTTTGCCACGCATTCCAATCGAAAAAGCCAGCAGTTCTGCTCCCTGAGGGGCCACAGTCCGGGTTCGATAACAGACGTGTTTCTGCTGAATTGGCCGCATCACCTGCTCTACGCCTTTCCGCCCGTTCCGCTGGTTCACAAGCTGCTAACAAAGATCAAACAGGACCGGGCTCGGGTCACTCTGATAGCTCCAGCGTGGCCCAGACAGCATCGGTACACCTCACGCGTTCGCCTCTCTCGCAAGACCCCGATCGAGCTTCCACTGTACCCAGATCTGATCTCACAGGACCACAGTCAGTTGCTCCACTCAAATCTCAGCTCTCTCCATCTAATGGCCTGGAATCTTCATGGCTGAGTCCCGATGAGCAGGCTTGTTCAGAGCAGGTCCGAAAAGTTCTCCTGGACAGTAGGAAGGCTTCCACGAGGACGGCTCACTGTGCAATGCTGGAAACGTTTTTCTCTCTGGTTGTCTGGTCGTGAGGTCCCACCAATGCATTCTTTGGTCCAACTTATCCTGAATTACCTCCT